TTTTTTCAAAACCATCTACAAGTTATCAGAAGTTCAAATCTGACTTTAGATTTGAGATTTCACCTTCAATGACCTTTTCAAGGTTAAAAAGCTCTTTTTCAACTTGTTTCAAAGTGACCAATTTTTTTTCAAAATCATCTACAATTTATCAGAAGTTCAAATCTGACTTTAGATTTGAGATTTCACCTTCAATGACCTTTTCAAGGTCAAAAAGGTCCAACTTCAAAAATTGACCAACTCCTTTTTTCAAAACCATCTACATGTTCTCAACAGTTCAAATATAACTATAGATTTGACCTTCAATGGCATTCTCAAGGTCAAAAAAGATTTGACCTTCAATGACATTCTCAAGGTCAAATTGAAATTGACCGATTTCTTTTTCTAAATCATCTACAAGTTCTCAGAAGTTCAAATCAGACTTAAGATTTGAGCTTCAATTACTTTCTCGGGGTCAAAAAAGTCTTTTTTTCTACTTGTTTCAAATTGACCAATTTATTTTTTCAAAATCATCTACAAGTTCTCAGAAATTCAAATCTGACTTAAGATTGAACTCATAATATTGTGAACGCCTAGTTGATGAGATTTTGTCATGTTAATGTCTTGTTAACACCATGATTGGAATACCAATTTAGACAATGCTAAGCTTGAATGAAGTAACTGCATTCATATTTCTTTTATATCATAGTGATACATGCAATTTGTTACTTTTGTGTGATATTCACTTTCAGGTGTGATCCATCAGGGGCCTTCGAAGTGAACTATAGCCTTGTATGACTGAGCCTTTTTACAGTGTATGTAAGCACATGCTACAGGAGACTATGACCAGAGAGACAATAATGAGTTCGACAAACGAGTCCATGGCAGTAGTGGAACTTACTGAGCACATTGACTTATTTTAATTTTTCTGTCTCTCTTTGGATTTATGGTATTTATGGCATTCAGAATATAGACAATGGACACAGAACAAAAAGAACAACATCTGTTTTAATGACCATATCTCTCAACAGCTCAAGAAAATATGTTCCTTATAAACACCATTCCTAAACACATGTAGCTATGTACAGGATATCCATAAATCCATATTTACAAATACTAGTGATTTAATTATGAACTACAGAACACTTTATTCTTCTTCGGGATTTTGAAAATGTGGTGTGTAGTTATTCTGATAAAAATAAATGTATATTTTATGCATATTTTTGTCATGTACATGATTTTATTATACATGTCAGACCTATATAGCCAGCTTTTGCCAATTAGGGGGTCACTTTTTAAAAAATACCAGGGGTTCACATTTGACCATTTTGGCCCAAAAATGACCAAAATCAATCTTTGGCAAGATGATTCGCTGGAACCCACCGAACCACGCTGGCTATGGGCCTGCATGTACATAATGTAAATAGACTTAACTATTGGTTGTCATAGCAGTAGGCTCTACATCAATAACAATATTCATTTGTTTTTTATAATAGTATTACAATGACGAAACTTTTCAAAAGAATAATATCGATACTAAATGATCCATAGCCAATTCTGGCATTTTAGACAATAAAGGACTGGACTTATTGACTGGAAATGGTCCAAAATGATTTTGGGTGTATTTTGACTATAAAATAAAATAAATTTCTGGGTGTCATTTTTGAAGAAATGAATGAGAATTTTATTACTAATAAAGTATAAGTTGGAAAGAACTTGAAATTACTGATTAGTATGGTGATTTTCTCATTAAAATAGAAAATATACTCATCTATTTAAAAACACAAAATAATACAGTTATGACGTCGCAATCAATGTGCTAATATGCATAAATATAATTTTGCAAAATAGAGCTCTTTTTTTATCTTTAATATGATATAAATTTTATCAAAATCGAAGAAATATTCGGGGAGTTATGTGTAAAAAACACTTTCTGGTCATTATTTTCTGGTTACTATTGACATGGGCATTTAGGCACTTGAGGTCCACTTTTCATAATTTTTAACAAGTGAATCTCAAAACTAGGCACTATGAGCTTTCCAACGGTACCAAATTTATCCCTAGGCCTATGTCATAACTGTACATGTATAAGTACTTTCAACTAGCGCTTTTGGGCCATCATTTAGACTACCTACAATACACAATAGAAAGGGCATGTGATTTTTGGTGTTTTGGGATATGATTTTGATTTGGCTGTAGAAAAAAAATTAGCTCGGTGACCCCATATTTTTGGAGTCATAATTCTAAGAATTGAACGTAATTTAAACAAATATAAAAAAAATTCTTGTTAATTACTATTATTTATATTAGGGAGAAACAGGAGCGTTCATGGCGTAGGAAGGTGTAAATTCAACACAACGCCAAATGAAACAATTGTGTCAAATCTTCTATATCAAAACGCCTATTTTATGCTCGTAAAACGTCACTTTAAGGCAATACCTTTCTAATTTAAAATGTTCGAATGTTTTTCATCACATAAAATCACTATGGAAAGCCGGTCTTTTAAATCTCGACACAACTCATTCTCACTTTTCTAATGTGTAAATGTTATTTTTTCTCGAACAATATAGACAACAAATTTCCAGATAACAATGAGAGAATTTTTTACCATTTCTGAATAAATGAATTTAGATACATATTATTGTCTGATTCCATCGTGAATCGTGCAATACGACGATACAGAGTAAAGAAACGCAGTGTGATTAATCGTTTCAAAGAAACATATTCGTGATCAATGACAATTAACCCTAATGTCTGCAACCTTTTTATAACAATAATTCGCAAGACCAAATAACCCCCCTTCCACCCTCCACAAAGGTCAAATCAAGGTAAACGTGACTTGGGGGTGCCAAAACCTTTCCAGAACTGAAGTTGTACTTTCAAAGATAGCAGGTATCGCCAAAACTCATTAAAATTAATGGAACGCGTAATTGAATAATCAACAGTTTCAAGTTTTTTCTTCAACATTCATATTTCAAGAAGTACTACCAATAACAATTAGTGATTTAGCAAGAAAATATATAAGTGCTGTATAAGCATTGCGGAACATGCACAAAAATTGCAAAGGTATTCATCAAGTAGTAAAAAAAAACAGTTTTTCTCTCAAATTCGTAAATAGAACGCGATTCACGAAACATATATAAAGAACATAGGAAAAATTAATAAGCCTTTTTTATTATCACTTTTCAATACTACGCACTGGCGATTTGGCGTATATTGTTCATCCGCCACTGTTGAAAATGCATTATTTCTCCCATTGAATAATAGCTATGTTTAAATATATTGTATAAAATGTATAGATATGTGTTTGTAAACACTGCAAATTGGTATGTCATCCCTCTTTATGCCCATAAAATGTATATATTTCTCAGCAAACAAGCTTGTGTTTTTTCTTGAGTTTGTGTTTGTTTTCCTTGTAACCTTGCATGATTTGGATTTTTCCAGCATGCAAAACAAAGAATCTACTTCTTATGGCCTTACATAGCATATTGTCCAACTTTCTTACATCTGTACATTGGAATAGTTAGTCGAATACGATTTACTTACGTCTAAAGGAGCAATGGTTCCCGGGAAAATATAACGTAAAAATCAGAAAATATATTTCTGGGCCCTCCAAAAAATATGTTTCGGCCTAGATGAAGAGATATACTTCACCTAGAATTCCCATTGATGATTCTTTTGTTAGATATTGATCTAATGATTCTTATTTATCAAAAAACCGGATGCAAAACGGAATAAAAGCAAAGATAGAAGCGTGAAAAGTACAGGTTGCCAAGGTAAACAAACCTTTTAGAAAATGAAAAGTTCATTTGTACACAGTGATTGTAGCGTAGATATTTTAATTGTCATCAAATTTCTTGTACCATTTGATAGGGGACATCTTCAGGAACATGCTCGTATAAAGATGATAAAATTTGGGTCAGTATTAATGAAATGGCAAGCGATCTTCCAAAACGCTATGGATATATTTTAGCGCTATCGCGTCATTCACACGATGACGCGTCAAATTCACCAGCTTCTCCAAAGTGGCAATAGAGATGGTCGAAAGGCGCTAGCGGCTTTTGTAACGTGAAACACAGAAGACGTCGTACTCTGGTCACATATAATATGCTTTAAAAGTAGCTGAATGACGTATTATGAATTTGCACAACATGTTGGACGTAAATATTGGCAAAGGGAGTTGTTTCCTGAAATAACTCACGACCACAAAATGTCGGACTATCCCGACATACGTACATGTAGTTGACATGCATAATTATTAATAAATTATGGAAGGATCGTTGACATTTAACAATTAACATTACATAGTTCTGATGCAAATAGTTGAACCTAGGTTAATTTTAAAATCCAATATGGCAGACGAAAGTCGTAAAAACGTTTCGCTACACTACACTACACTTCCAGCTGATGAAATTGAAGAAAAAAGAAAGATAATCAAACGTCTCGTATAATACAATAAAAAGCAAACAACAAGGCCATAAAGATTTTGAAGGAATATCGATGTAAAATATCTCTGAGGTGAGAAGGTTGATCTGTTTCTCTGGCCCCAAGCCAAGGGACTTGGTTTAGGCGAGTTTTATATGCCATTGGGTAATCATGGATTAAAAACGTTATTCAATGATTTCTCGTGAAATACGGAAAATATTCTTCCCTTAAACGTCTGTATTTCACTCTGCTAGCGCATCGTGAAATACAACCTTCTCGGGAAGAATATTTCTGTATTTCACTCGAATCATTGAATAACTTATAGTATTATTAACATGTATATAATGTTTATAAATTTTCATTGATTTTTTTAAAGGAATTGTATTCTTCAGATTTGTAGTAAACAAACAAACAAACAAACAAACAAACCTGCCATTTTCCTAATGACTTGAGATAATGAGATCTTTGGATAGAGAATGATGTCTTGTGGAGACAAGACCCTTAAGCAGTTAAGCCTCAGTCACATTAACCGTAGCATTTCCACATACTACACGAGTCGCAGTCACATATAATATGCTTTAAAAGTAGCTGAATGACGTATTATGAATTTGCACAACATGTTGGACGTAAATATTGGCAAAGGGAGTTGTTTCCTGAAATAACTCACGACCACAAAATGTCGGACTATCCCGACATCCGTAGTTGACATTCATATTAATAAATTATGGAAGGATCGTTGACATTTAACAATTAACATTACATAGTTTTGATGCAAATAGTTGAACCTAGGTTAATTGGACGGTTGAGGATTTGCTATTTCTGTTATCAGCTAGCGTTAAGGCCTAACACCATTGTTGTTATAATGTAATTGATCGCATAACATTTAAAGCTTACTATCGGTGATGTTATTATAGAAGTATCAATGAAATTATAGTTTTTGGGATTCAATCTTATTCACATTATTTGTATGGACTAAAACGTTGTACAATGTATTCAGTTTATTACGTCCTTGTTCAAAGAAAATTTCACGTTATTGTTATACTTATGTGCATTGGAATACTTGGAATTAATTTTATAGATTTTCAAGATACGCCAGTTAAACAATACAGAAATCCAGCGTTCAATAGGTCATTTAGATTCAGGAACGTAACTCTTAAAATTGAGGAAATACGACAAGGCTTAGTTAATATTCAAGAGGCGCCAGTTAGACAATACAAAGATCCAGCGTTCAACTGGTCATTCAGTTTCAGGAACGTCACTCCTAAATTTGAGGAAATACGACAAGGCTTGGTTAATATTCAAGAGACGCCAGTTAAACAATACAGAAATCCAGCGTTCAACTGGTCATTCAGTTTCAGGAATGTCATTCCTAAATTTGAAGAAATACAAGACTTAGTTAATATAACGATTAAAGAAGCAAACGAAACATCTTGCACAGAACTGAACATTGACAATGAACTTACCAATGAGGAAACGAAAGCGATTAAAGCTATTGGATCCAAATACGAAACATTCCTCAAAAAGTATGAAACCAAAAATCGAAAGCGTCAGGTTCCAGCGGATATAAACATAACGGAGATCCTGTTTCGTTCCTCTGCTTTTCAGAGAAGATCTGCAAGAAAAGTATGTGCTGATAGGGTTGACAAGATGTGTGGACGAGTAGTTGAAAATTTGGAATTAAATCCTCGCGAGAAAATTATATTGCCATTTGAAAACTTCTTTAAACCATTTTCTGAACTAAAACACGCTCACGTATTTTACGATTTGCGAAACAAATTGAAATCTTTTCGAGATAGAATGGTATATAGTATTGGTATAACTTATCATTATCTCCCATCTCTTATCAATTGGATAATTGTTGCTAGGCAACTATGCATCCCACCTATTGGTAGAATACTTGTATATAGTCAAGATATTGAGGTTTGCGAGTTTCTTGATAATAGAAAAATAAACGTAAGCTGTTTATATTATAACATTGATGAACTACGCAAAACTAAAAATGTCACTATTAGTTTTTCCAAAGAGAGCGAAAAGCAAGAGCGCAAACAAATGATGTGGATAAGCAGAGTGTTGCTATGGAGATTGGTTAATTATCTTGGATATGATATTGTGACGTTTGATACTGATGCTCTGCCCGTCCATCACCCAAGTGATGTGTTTGATAGGTTTCCTAGAGCTGATCTGATTGGTTCCCAAAATGGTCGTTATCCTTTTTCTCTAGTTTCTTATTGGCAACTGAGGACAATAAATATGGGTATGGTACTTATGCGATCATCGCTAAACAAAAGTGAGTCGAAACGCTAAAAGTCCCCGTGTAAGGTTTGAAAATGTGTTTTAATTATTCATTTACGATTTGTCATGACTTTAAAAGTTTTTTTTAGAGATTTTCCCTTATTAAAAGATACGTGTAACCCCTAAGGGTTAGTTTTAAATAAACACTCGATTTTTCGAACAAAAAATTCTTCAAAAAACACTTTTTGAAATAAAAAAAAGTTTCACATATCACACTTTGATAACATTGGGTAAGCCTACAATAAAAGCCAAAGTGGTTTAAACTTTATGGGGGGGGGCTTTAAATAAATCAACAAATCATATACCGAGAAAACAAACGAAAAACAAAAACAAATTAACAAACAAACAAACAAACAAACAATCGGATGATTGACGATTGGGCATTAACAATAATCAATCAATCAATCGATCCTTTATAACATTCATATAACACCATGTCGTCTATGATCGTCTGTTTTGCTTTTTAGCCATATTTTGGGATATGGTTGGAAAGGTATCTGTCACTAAACCTGATGACCAGGTCGTCCTGAACCTGGCCCTGGTGTGTCTGAACATAAGTTGGCAACACCCCCCACTCAGATTCATTTATACCTATCCAGAAACTAAAGACAGATTGCTTCGATACAATGAGGAGCTTAACTCGGGGAAGGTCCCCATCGAGGGTAAAACTGACTATCACCTCAACGTTATTGGAGTTCAAGGTCATCAGGTTTGTAGAAGTTCATGCTCGTTGAAACGTCTTGATGATATCATAATATGGCACGGGGGTGGCAAGTTTCAACAGGGTTTACTCTGGTTGCTAGGCACGAACTGGACTATGCAAGGTTTGTTACCTGGACAACATAATCGACGGATTATCGCCAAGGGAGATGAATGGCTGCA